TTTTTTTTTTTTTTTACAGTTGTAATTTGTGTTTTAACAATTTTTTAAGTCAATCTCTTTTCTTTCAGGCTACTTAAATTTATTTTGGGCTACCAAAAACTGAAGAGTGTCTGCAGGAAGGGCTACCAGAGATTTTGAAATTTTGCGAGCCCTGATTTGGTACTTCAATGAAAGACTTCAGTTAGTTAAGAGGGAGGGAAAAAAGTTGTGTTCACGTTTGCAATTTTGTCTTGTTATACAGTATTTGAAAGACTACATTTTCAGAAATATTTGTGAGTGTTTTCTTGTTTGTTTGGTTGGGTTTTTTTGTACTACTTGAACACTAAAGTGTCCCTCACATGACATGACAGTGCCAGCAGGGGCCCACAGCTCAATTAAGTTTGAGACCCACACAAACACAAACTGCAAATCTTGCAAGGCTACTCTAGTCCAAGGATATAGATATGGACCCGAACATAAGAAAAGTAGGTATCCATTAAAGTTTATTTCTATATGGACAGATCTGGATCATCACAGCTGAGTATGTATAGCCTATGTCAGGCATCAGCAAACTTTAACACCCAAAGAGCCACTTGGACCCAGTTTCCAAGCAAAAGAAAACACTGGGAGCCGCAAATACTTTTTGACATCTAAAATGAAGATAACACTGCATATATTGGGTTTTTTTACCTTTTATGCTTTGTGTGAACAACTAAAGTAAGTAAGTAAAGTTTATTTATTAAGCGCTTTTAACAGACAGGCAGTCACAAAGCGCTGTACACAAAGATTAAAATAAACAATACAATCAATAGACATTATACGCAATGTAAAAGATCAAATGTAAAGAATGTAAAGAATATAAAATACGTGGATCAACAAAAGGCTTGTTTGAACAGAAAAGTTTTTAACTGCTTTTTAAAAGAATCCACAGAGCAACTAAGGTGTGCTGCTTATGAACTCCATGAAGTGCTACAGAGAAAATTACATTTTATTTATGTAAATTTTTTGAACTCTTAAAGAAATATAACAAAAGGAAAGCTGAACTACAATGATCCATGTAGCAAACAAAAACTGTTGTGAGCCGCCCCCCTCATATCACCTTTGGGCTTTTGGAGCCTTGACCTGACTTTTAAAAAGTAATTGGAAAAAAAGCTCTATGCTGATAAAAAAAATAGATATTTGCAAATTTCTGCCTAAATATGTATTTTACCTGGTTAATGTGTGTGGCGTGGTTTGCAGTGCCGCTGCATGATTTTTATATTTCAATATCACAATAATCTTCCAATTTAGAACTACAAGTTAAAAAAAGAACTAAAGACAAATAAAATACACTTCAGCTAAATACTTCTAATTTATTTTCCCAAACCACGCGGAGCCACACTATAAGGACTAAAGAGCCGCAGGTTGCCGACCCCTGGCCTATATTATAAATTACTTTATAATGCAAATTATCTTACACTACCAATTACAAGCTTAAACTGAGGAATGTCTTTCTTCAACTTTTTTGTACCTGGCATACTATTTGTCCTATTTATTCAGGAGAGAGGCTTTGGCTGTTTTGTCCCTAAATGTATTGTTCTATTTAAAAGTTCACTGTATAAGTCTATACAATATTTTCTTCTTATTGATCAGAAATATCATCAGAAATAAGAATGTTACTGTGGAAATCATGCTTTCTGGTGTGACATCTGACACACAGGATCACATGGTCGATATTGGTGATGTGTCTCAGAGGAAGGAGCTCAGAGAGAAGCTTAAATGTAAACCCTTCAAATGGTACTTGGAAAATGTCTACACCAGTCTGTCAACATGGGATAACATGTTGGGTTATGGTGTGGTAAGTAGCTTTTTATTTTGCTTTTTGAGCACTTTGTCACAAGGACAAAAATATCTATTAGAGTAAGTTCAAGATAAGAAATGTGGTTGTGTTAAAAGTTCAGTTGCATTTCAGGAGGATTTCCATGATTTAAGACTCTAAATGTGGTAAATTAAAAAAAAAAAAGTTTAAAAAAACATGTAGTAGCAAATCCCAGGAGATTTAAATATATATTTTGAGAAACTGTACCCACACAGTGAGTATATGATTCAGTACAAAGCAAATAAGCAATTTTGACACTCCAGTTACGGAACGACCTTCTTAAGAACCACTGTGTGGACCAAGGATCTGTTCCTGGAAATATCCCCATCAGCATGAATGCCACTTCCAACAACCACAGGTAATGTAGAGTACCAAACTACCAGGATAATAAATATGACTGAATATAATTTGAAGTTATTACTTTTCCTTTTAACAGCACTGCTACTACAACACAGATGGTGAAATAATCAATGGGGGGATTACATCTCACAATTATAACAGTGATCGCTGCCTGGTTGATCCAGGCTCTGGAAGTTCTCCCACCCTGCAGGAGTGTCCACTGGCAAAAACGAATGAACTACACATGCACTGGGACTTCAAACAAGTAAGATCTTGGTCGATAACAATCATGGTAATGTTTAAATGGCGTCCCTGTATAGTGTCTTTTCAGGTGCCACTGGTGGGAGGTGCTAAAGTCAAAAATGTTCAGATGCTCCTACTGACATACTCCAATGTTTTTTTTACAAACACTTGTTGTGCACTGTTGCCTCATACTTTCTCTCAACCTGTGGCAGGGCCAAGCAATCATAAACAAAGCAACAAACAGATGCCTTGAAATCGCCCAGGGAGCAAACTTTTACTATGAACTCATCATTCGGCAGTGCAGTGGACAGAGCTGGAGGATCGAGCATCTCATCACAAGCTTTTAGTGCCGTTTTTAACATGACCGTCTGTTATATTAAAGTGTGCTCAAACTCGATCTCATTTAAAATACATTTCTTTTTTTTTTTAAAAAGGTCAAAACCATTTAAGCGTGTTTTTGCAATATCGCTGACTACCCTGGAAAATGTTTGCAATCCTACAGTGCTCACTACAAATAACTAGAGTACACATTTTCTACCTTTCCTGGAGTTTAAACAGTTATGACATAATAATGAACAGCTAATGTGCAAAATCCAGAAATTGACATTTTGAAAAGAGGTTTATTTGATTCATGAAAATATAGTATAATATATCCATATGTTGTGATACAATAATTATGATATAGTGTTGTGCAAAATATTGAAAAACACAGGTGTGCAGGTGCAAGCATTCAAGTTCATTAGACTGGTGTGTCATCTCTTTTTACCCCTTCTATTGTGCAAATAGCCACAAGTAGCTTTATTGCTCCGGTTAAATGTAGTCACGACCTGTAGTCTTTGTTAATACACAGATCCACAGGTAATACCTTTTAAGAATTATCTTTCACAGAACTGACATTGAACAGTTGCAGCAAGAAAAACAGGAATGCATGATGACTGTACGGCTTGGACGTCACCTGTGAGTGAATAAAAGGGCTCTTTGTCCACTTTATGTAAACCTGATTGTGCTGCAATGCTAAACTCCATTAACTCTGCATAATTTTACAGATGCAAAAACAATACTTTAATTCATTTAAGATTTAATCTCTTTATTGTATCGTGTTTAGATTTGGAATTTTTAAATCTCTTTTGTATATTTTAAATTTAGTTGAGCTCATTCTTTAGTGTACTTTTTCATTCTGAGATATTTATCTTATTGAGCTAAGCTGTGGGTTTTTTCATGTTTTGACTGGTGTAACAGTAATTTCCCAACTTTAAGGACAAATTAGGTTTTTGTTTTCCTTCTTTTTGACTAACTATAGATTGATTATAGATTAACGAGCAATTTTAATTTTTTCTTTTATTTTAACAAAATTGTGAGTGAGATGATGGTGTGATATGTGTCTCAGATGCAGTGGAGGGGTAGTCCAGTGGGTCCAGGTGTGTGGTGTCCTGGCAGGCATTGTGTTATTAAGCCTTCCCTATTTGAGTAACTGCTGGAGCCCAGAGAAGATAGAGAGAACAGGACAGAACTGTTCTAAGCACATATTCAGCTGCAGAGAACAAACAGCTTAAAAAGCAACAGTGAATAAACATGCATTTACCTTGTACTGCTGTGTGCGCCAAATCCTTTGCCACAACAGCCTCACTAAATCAATTAACGTCTGGCTCGAAAGGGAAAAACTATGACCAAAAACAACAATTTGCTGTAAATGTATGCACTCAATTGACTACTAAAAGTCAAATGTAGTCTGGAAGGTTTCTAGGTGTGTAGTTGCCATCAAAGTGAAGCCATTGTTTAAAACTTTGTTGGATGTGACTCATAAATACTTGGAAAAAGGTACAGGAAATAGGGATGTGTTCAGCTGGAGCACCTACCAACACACTAAAGTATTGTCTGTGTGTGCCACCAGGTCTAAATGAGGTTCAGATTAAGGTTATTGCACACACCTATGCATGTGCCTCCCTGTCTGGCTATGGACAGAATTTCTAAATGGAATAATGTCACACAAACTCAAGATGAAGTTAAGAAACTTTACAGGTATGTCACTGACACAAAATTTACAGCTCAATTGAAAGATATGGGTGGTCTAAGACATGCTGCTGATAAATGGAACCTGTTTCATAATGGAACCGTAACAACCGTGACAACATTATACTTTTAACCTTGGGTGTGTCTATGGTTTTTGTTCCAAGACATGCAAAGTATAAAAGACCACAAAGGCAGTTTTGAAAACAACATTAAGCAATATTTACACTCTTTCACTGTCAAGCTTTTACATATTAGGATTTAAATTTAAAGAAAGAAAGAAGGATAAAAGAAACATAAACAAAATATCATCTGATCTTTAGAAGGTCTGGAGGATTTGGGTGTGTGTCTGGGAAGGGTTACAAGTTTCAAATGCTTTGAAGTTCATCATTCCACACCGATAACGATTATTCACGAGTGGAGAAAAAAATGTCAGACACTTGCCAATCTTCCCAGGACTGAACATCTCAGCAACATCACCAGAAGGTCAAAATGTGCAATGTTCAGAGAAACTGGAAAAGAAATCCACATCGCCGACTCTACAGGGCTCTATTAGAATATTCAAGTTAATGAAAGTATCCAAAGAAAAAGACTGAACAAGACTCGCTTGTTTGGAAGGATTACCAGGAGAAAGCCTCTAAATTCTAAAAAGAACACGGCAGCACAGGCTAGGGTTGGAAAATTGTATCTGAACCACAAGATATCTGCAAAAATGTATTTTGCACACACAAAATCAAACTATGATATTGAGCTATGGTGCACAGTGCCACAATTGGTGAAAATCAAACGCAGCACATAAACTGTCAAGCAGAGTGGTTGATGGGTAACAATTTATTCTTGTTGTGCAGCCACAGGACCTGGGCACTTTGCACTCACTGAGCTGACCAGGAACGCCTCTGTACATCAAGTATTCTAGAGTGAAATGTGAGTCCATCTGTCGGACTTGACCAACAGAGCAATGATGCCAAACACACCAGTGAATCTAAAACAGAATGGCAGAAAAAGTAAAGAATCAAGCTGTTGCAATGGCCCAGTCAATGTCCAGACCACATTCAAGCCAATTAAAAGGCTGAATGAGCTCTAAAGAAAGCAGTGCACACACAAATGCCCAAGGACTTCAATGAACTGGAGCAATTTTGCAAAGAGGAGTTGGCCAAGATTCCTCCATAATGGCATGAGAGGAAAGAATTATTTCAACTTATTGGTGCTAAAAAGTATTGAATTATGGGGTCTACTTAGTTTACACACTGCTTCTGTTATTTTTGAACCAATAACGAGAAGGTGTAACAGGTCACATGTTGTTCATCTGGGATTGTAAAATAAAGTTATTTTAAAACCTGAGGAGGACTCAATTATTTTTTATTATTAAGTAAGTAAGTAAAATTTATTTATATAGCACATTTCACAGATAAAAATCACAAAGTGCTTCACAATAAGATCAGACATACAAGTTAAAATTAATTAAAAACCAGTTTGTATAAAAATGTCTTCAGCTGCTTTTTAAAGGAGTCAGTAGAGTCTAGACAGCGTAAAGACAACGGCAGGGAGTTCCACAGCCTCGGTGCCTGAAAAGCTCGATCCCCACGTGTTTTAAACCCGGTACGTGGGACCACCAGTAACCTCTGACCTGAAGACCTAAGTACTCGGGATGAAGCATGAGGTTTCAACAGGTCAGAGATACACTGGGGAGCTTCACCGTGCAGAGCTCTAAAAGTTACAACTAAAATTTTAAAATGAACCCTAAAATTTACAGGCAACCAATGAAGAGAAGCCAAAACTGGAGTAATGTGTGACCTCTTGTTTGTACCAGTTAAAAGTCTTGCCACTGCATTCTGTACAGACTGAAGACGATCCAGAGCTGGTTTGTTGAGACACGTAAAAAAGACCGTGACAATAATCCAAACGAGAAGAGATAAAAGCATGAATCATCTCAAGTTCTGCCTTTGACACCAGTAGCCTGAGTTTAGAAATGTTTCTTAAATGACAAAAACAGTTCCGGACAAGTTGTTTAGAGTGTTTCTCAAGAGACATTGAACTGTCAAATATAACACACAAGTTTCTGAGACTCGACTGAAATGAAGGGTCTAAAAAACTGACAATGGTTAAATAACTGAAATTGTCATTTAACCATTGTTTGATTTCTGACAGACAATTATTTAAACACGACAATTTATAAAACTCAGAAGTTTTGAAAGAACAGTATAACTGAATGTCATCAGCATAGAGATGATAAGAAATATTATTGTAATGTCTGATAATGTGGCCTAGAGGGAGTATATACAGCAAAAAGAGAATCAGACCTAAAACAGATCCTTGAGGTGCCCCAGAAGGCAGAACTGGTGTTTCCGACAGCACATGATTCATACAGACAGTAAAGGATCTCTCAGATAGATGCGACATAAACCATTTTAAAACAACACCAGTAATCCCAAACAAGTCCTTCAGCCTATTTATCAGGATGCTGTGATCAACAGTATCAAAAGCAGAGCTGAGATCCAACAGAACCAGAACGGTGTTCTCTCCAGAGTCTGCTGCCATCAGAATGTCACTAGACACTTTAAGCAAAGCGGTTTCAGTGGAGTGCAATTTGCGGAAACCAGACTGGAAAATGTCCAGAACATTGTTCTTCTCCAAAAAGTTGTTAAGTTGTTCTGCAACTGCAAGATCTTTGACACCAATGGTAGTTTTGATATTGGCCTGTAACTGCTTGGAAGAGATGAGTCCACATTTGGTTTCTTTAATATTGGTTCAACAATAGCTTGTTAGCTGGGAACTGAGCCAGTATAAAGAGAAGTATTAATTATTTCCAGAATACAGGGGCCAATAGAGTCAAACACACTAATGAAAAATGATGGAGGAAGTACATCAAAGTGGCTTGAAGTTAGTTTCATTCGACCAAGCAGAGCACTGATGTCCTGTAAGGTAACAGGAGTAAAAGAGGACCAGGTATCAGAGGTAAGCAACATGTCAGTGTGATACTGAGAGGATGGTAAATAGCCTGTATTTGTTTAGTGCTTTTACTAGTCCTCCCTAGGAACCCCAAAGTGCTTTACACACCCAGTCATCCACCCATTCACACACTGGTGGAGGCAGCTACAGTTGTAGCTGGGGCAGACTGACAGAAGCGAGGCTGCCATATCGCGCCATTGGCCCTTCTGGCCAACACCAGTAGGTGAAGTGGACACAACGACCGAGACTGTCCGAGCCGGGGCTCGAACCAGCAACCTTCCGATTACAAGGCGAACTCCCAACTCTTGAGCCACGATCGCCCCAATCGAGGATGATGGAGAAATATTAGACCTGACAGCAGCGACCTTATTAACAAAATAGCTTAAAAAGTCATTACAATCAGATTTAGTATAGACTGGTACATGAGGAATATCAGGAGAGACAATGTTTTTAATTGTATCAAACAATACTCTGGGATTTTTCTTTTTTGAAGCTATTAGATTAGCAAAATATTCAGTTCTGGCATTTTTTATCATGTCATTAAGTGAGGAAATTGATTCCTTGAGATGTACCCTATGGACCGCAAGCTTGGAAGCCTTCCATAAACGTTCTAATTTGCGACAATATCTCCTAAAATTTTGAATATTTTCATTTATCCAAGGACAGAAATTTGAAGAATGGACAACATTTAGTTTCAGAGGTGCCACCGTATCTAAAATAGATTTACATTGATTGTTAAAAGACAAAATAAGTGAATCCATATCATTTTGAGCCATGTGAGGGTCAAACATGGCAGAGAACCTTCTAGCAGCATCCTGGTTTATAATCCGCCTTTGGATCATCAATTTAGGAGGTGAAGGATCCACGTAAAATGACAAATTAAAGAATATACAACTATGGTCACTCATATGGACATCTTCCACACATACATCATGTATATTTAAACCCAGGGAGAAAACAAGATCCAGTGTGTGGCCCTTTGTATGTGTGGGGCCAGAAACATGCTGCTTAAAGTTAAAAGACTCAGTGATAGTGATGAGCTCAGCAGCAGTGTTACAGGAAGCGTCATCAATATGAAGGTTTAAGTCTCCCAATATTACAACCTTCTCCAGTTTAATGATCGATGTCAGAAGGTCGTTAAATTCAGTTAGAAAGACCCCAGCAGGTCCAGGAGGTCGATAGATTAAAATACAGTAAAAGGTTTTCAGAGAACCGACCTTCATCATCTGTGACTCAAATAAAGAAAAGAAGTCCGAGGTCATCAGTTTGCATATGAGTCTGTCCTGGTAAACAACAGCGACATTAATATGTCCTTATATGTAAAACTTAGACATACGTTTATGTTATCAGTATGATAAATGCAGAAATGTACAGCCTCTCAGTCATCATTTCACCATAATTTCTTTCTTTAATCCAGTCACATCTTACAATCAGTACTTAGAAATATTCAGGGTTCAGGGTTCACACATACTTAGAAATATGAATAAAAAAGAAAAGACACAGTTTACTTATTGTATTGTATTGTATCTTTATTTGTTTCAGACATATAAAACAAAAAAACAATATATACACACTACATATATTTTCATTTACAGATACGAATATATATGTAGATATACACACACACACGTATGTGTTCAGATAAACAAAAAAATATATAATGAAATAAAACAAAATCGTCTGACATAATAACAATGTTTGGTCTGAAAAGGAGTAGGAAGAAGTATGAACATACTTATTAATTCCTACCCCTGCTCAACATCTTATTGATCCCACATAATTCACCTAATTCCCATCATCACATACTCCACACAATACACGAGGAGAACCTATATAAACATGGCTACCGTGATTGATATAATTTGGATATAATTTGATATTTTTATACATACACTTATGGACTCATGATAGTAATGAGATGAAGTAGGAGTTGATTTTTGTCATTAGATTTATCCTTTAGCCACTGAGGAATGTAGTCATTTTTGTGTGATAGTCTGTTGTGCGCCTCCCCTCGTCATCTGGTAATATGGTGGTGTTTTGGTCTTTGCAGACTTTTCTGCAGACCTCTTTTTAGTCCCAAAGAAGCATGAGGGATACTTATCAAGTCTGAGATTTCTGCCCGCTTGGACTACAGGCTAATTGACTGGTTAGCTATTCAATGAGGAGATGAGAGTTGTTTTTAATTAATTTGGCTGGACCATGTTTATTAACACACTATTCTTACAAAGAATTCTTAAATATACAATATATCTTTTATTGTCTGTTACATTCACGAGGCACAGTCACTTTTTTGGGCAGGTCTGGACACACAGGTACGCCCATGACCCTGACGCTGCTTGCTGCAGGGCGTACCTGCCGCGATGGGCGGGTAGCGATGTTCACACGTCTGCTCAACTAACGATTTAATGGCATTCACATCAGGAGTTATCAGCTATTTGATCTCATCCAGTCAGTAGATGAGCTGTGTGTGTGTGCTTCTTTGTGTCCTCTCACGTTGGATTGTCTGGCTGGGAGGCTGGTGTGTTATCAGAATGAGGGGAACGTGGATAAAACGGCTGTTGTTGTTAGTGGGAGCTGTGGGGGTCATGGTTTACTTCGGCATCTTTCTGAAGAATGGACACCAACATAGCGTGGACACTAAAAACGAGATGGACACACCGTGTATGAAGACCTCGTCCAACCTGGAGGAAAGAATCAGCGATCTAAGTGAGTTCAGTCAGATTAAAGTTTCTCTTTTAGATGATTATTATTATTATTAAGATTAAATGCTACCCGTGGGTTTTATACAAGAAAGAAAGTTAAATACGGTAATAAAATTAAACGAAATATCAATTAAATTCAGAGGCAGTTTTACATGCACATGTATTGAAGATATGACATTAAGTCAATGCCCGCCAATGATTTATTAGTAAAAAGTATAGGGGGAAAAGACATTAATGAAAGCACCCTTAGTATGGTTATAAAGAGAAATAAATAGGTCTTTTGCAGTTTATTGTTGACAAATGAGATAAAATGATAACACAAATTTATGTCAAAGTTCAATTAAAGTGTTTAATACTGCAATTTTGGCTTTTGAACGTGCAGTGTATTTTTATTTATGCTTTTGTTTTTATGCTTCTGTATGCATGTAAACAGAGGTAGGAAATGTAGAAGATGAGTGCATGTATGAAAGTTACTCATTCCATTTCTTTGATCATGTTTTTGCTTACATTCTTTTCTACTGAAGTCAAAGTACTCAGAAGTTTTGAGAAAAAGCAGGATATCATGCAGAAAATATTGGAAGAGGACAGAGAAAAACAAAGAAAATCAGCAGAAGTCCAACAGCCAGCAGAGAAGAAGAAAGATGATGCAAATATCCAACCCCAAAATGAAGCAGATCAAATGAAAAAGTCTGAAAAACTGTTCCCTAACTCGGTCTTGTTCAAGGAGTGGGGGGAGGATCTCTCTGAAGATGACCAAAGAGAGGCTCAGAGCCTGTATGAGAAGTATGGGTACAATGTTTATCTGAGCGATCGCCTCCCTCTGGATCGACCTCTTCCAGATACCAGAGATCCTCGGTACAACTTTTACAACTTTTCATGATTTTAATCTTTCATTCTCTCTCCTGTACATTCAAAGAAAAAAAATTACTCTATCCAGTCTATTTCTTGCTAAAATATTACAAATTTCTGATCTTTTTAATAAATAGGTGTTTGAAAAAGAGTTACCCCAAGGACCTGCCGAGTCTCAGTGTGGTGCTCATCTACCTGGATGAAGCCCTGTCTGTTCTCCAAAGAGCCCTGCGCAGCATCATCAACCGCACTCCTAAAAACCTGCTGAAGGAGATAATAATGGTGGACGACCATAGTTCTAATGGTAAATTGGATACAAACGATTGGTTTCAAATATATCATCAAAAGCTGAGTGAAGACTATCACGTCACACATGTTTGGGACTAGTTTTCTTCTTTAGACGGTTTGAATCTGCTGGTATCACTTCCTTACCCACACTTCCTTCAGAAAAAAACATAACTATCTTTTTCCATTCAGACAATCTGAAGGGTGACCTTGACGTTTATGTGAAGTTGCTTGAGCAGGAGAACCCTAATCTCCGTATTGTGAGAGTGAGGCACAGTGAGCAGAGAGGTCTCGCTCATGCCAGAGCATCCGGGTGGAGGGCTGCTACTGCTGACGTGGTGGCCATCCTGGACGCACACATTGAAGTCCATGAGATGTGGTAGGAACATGGCAGAAATACATATATTCAGTTGTTGGTTTAAGTCTTATATTTTCTGTTTTCTTTTATCATTATATTACCACATTGTGTTAAAGAACATATCAATGCTGTCTTCATGAGATTAGCTACAAGTTTACCAAATATAAATTGCCATCGGTGATTTAATAATAATAGATTGGATTTATATAGCACTTTTCAAGGCACCCAAAGCGCTTTACAATACCACTATTCATTCACTCTCGCATTCACACACTGGTGGAGGCAGCTACGGTTGTAGCCACAGCTGCCCTGGGGCAGACAGAAGCGAGGCTGCCATATCGCGCCATCGGCCCCTCTGGCCAACACCAGTAGGCGATAGGGTAAAGTGTCTTGCCCAGGGACACAACGACCAGGACAGAGAGCCCAGGGATCGAACCGGCGACCTTCCCGTTACAGATGCGATTCCCAACCCCCTGAGCCACGGTCTGCCAGCCAGACTGTGACACATAATTCCAGTTTATACCAGTTGCCATAGTCATGCTGCATAGTGTGATTGAAGAGTGTTGACCCAGACATGTCAGCAGTTAATGAAATGTACACATTAGTTGACTAACTTTTCCACCTTTTCTTTGTTCCCCTCCTTCATGCAGGGCTGAACCTCTGCTGACACAGATTAAAGCTGACCGAACTGTGGTGGTTTCCCCGGTGTTTGATAGAGTCAACTTTGATGATCTCAAGGTTATTACATATCATCCCAATGCACACGCCTTCGACTGGGCTCTGTGGTGCATGTATGAGAGTTTTACACCCGAGTATTACAAACTTAATGACGGTTCACTGCCTGGCAAGTAAGTTCAACTAAAATCAATGTTTAACAATATAACAGCCATATTAACCCTATCATTATGATCAAATATCAATGTACAATAGTTAAAATAGAGATCTCTTCTTTGACTTTAGGAGTCCATCTGTCATGGGGATCATGGTTGCTGATAGAAAGTTTCTGGGGGAAATTGGAGTCCTTGATGAAGGAATGAAAGTGTATGGTGGAGAAAATGTTGAGCTGGGAATTCGTGTGAGTAAAGATCATAGAGTCATAAAATTCTCTTCCATAGTAAAGCAAACATAAGTGTCTTTGCCATCAGATTATATAGAATATTTGTGCAGATGGACCTTCTGGATTTTGTTATAATCACCACAGGTGTCCTAATCTGCAGATCATTTAAAATGGCTATAAACATACCATAGAAACTGAAGGTGCAGGTAGCAAGTAAATGAATTGCATTATGTAATACAAACAAGAAGATGAGGTCTAAAGTTATATCTTAGCCATGGAAAGAATAGTGACTGAGTTTTATTGTGCACTTTTTTCATGTAGGTATGGACATGTGGAGGCAGTGTTGAAGTTGTTCCATGTTCCAAGATCGCCCACATCGAGAGGGCCCACAAGCCCTACATGCCTGACCTGGGTCCTGCCATGAAGAGAAATGCCCTCAGAGTTGCAGAGATCTGGATGGATGAATACAAGCACAACGTTAACTTGGCTTGGAACATCCCATTTGAGGTGTTTTGAGGCACTGACACAAACAGCAAATTATGTTTTCTCTAAAGGATATTTCATTCTCCTGTTCACAGAGTCATGAGGCGATGAGTTATGGGTACATATTAGGCTTTGAGTGCTCTTTGTGTGTTTGTGTTTTAGCTTTTTTTACATTGACATTTAAGGAAAATCTTTCTTCAGATTCTTCCTCAGTCACAATCTGTGAATCGATTCACATCTTCTTCTTAGTTCCTGCAGAATCATAGAATTGACACAGGCGACATTTCAGAGAGGAAGAAACTTTGTGGCATGGTGTTTGTGGCATTGACACAAATAGTAAATGACACTTTCTTTAAGGGATATTTCATTTGTCTGCTTACATGACGCAAAAAAAACATTGATTAATTAACAACTTTATGAGACTTTGAGTGCTCTTAGCTTTTTTTGCATTGAAATTCAAAGGAAACCTCTCTTTAGATTCTTCCTCAGTCACATGAAACTATAAGCTGATTAACACCTTATTTTGCTTTTTGCAGAATCATGGAATTGACATAGGCGACATTTCAGAGAGGAAGAAACTCAGAGAAAGGCTGAACTGTAAACCTTTCAAATGGTACCTGGATAATGTGTATCCTAAGCTGGATCCCTGGGACGACCTCCTCGCATATGGAGGAGTAAGTTTACTTTTCTCTGATGCTTAGTATGTTTGGTACAGAGAGGTCCTGCACAATGTGTGGGAATCTGTGTTTGATGATTTGCTGTTTCCATTTGTAATATTCATAATGTTCTCCTGATGACAGATGAAGAGCCTTGACGCTGACATGTGCATAGACCAAGGTGCAGTACCAGGTCACACACCGATAGCCTACAATTGCTACTACTATGGACCTCAAGTAAGTGAAGCACCTTATAATTATGTTGATAATCATGATTATAAGGCAGTGCAGTTGTAAAAAACAAAAATCAAAACGAATAACACTATAAATTGATTAAATCTGTTAACGCATACTGTATCATATTTGATACAAATTTGGGAGTTTTTCAGACTCCCCCCCTTCCCCCCCAAACAACCTCAACAAATTGCACAACACAAGTTTAAGCAAAAAATGAAGAAAAAATAAATTTGGAACTCATATTTTAAAATTTTTTAATGGTAAACACTCTATTTTCTATTTTCAAAACCTTTCTTGCAATTATTTCATGGTTCAAGCTTTAAAGGGTTACAATTGAGTAATTTTGTCTTTAAGCTTGTCTCTTTGTTAAGCTCAGGATTGTTGACAGTGCAGCTGGTATTTTTAGATCGCACCCAGGATGTCTCTTTCGAAACACAAGCATTTGTGCGTGCAATTCCATCTGAAATGAATGTCACAGTCCACAGAGAACGAAGAAGTTAGTTATTGTTCCTTGTTGTCTGTTGTTAGCATTTTTAACATCATAATATCATTTTGACCTCTGTATCTCTCTGTCTCTTTCTCTTTCTTCCTTTCTAAGTTCACATATTATCGTGGAACGGGTGAGCTCTACATTGGTGGCATCAAGTCACATAAGTACAATGACAACCGATGTTTAGCTGACATAGGCACAGAGGAAACTGAGCCTGGCCTGTACAACTGTAAAGAGGCTATGCAGAAAGGAATGGGGATATACTGGGACTTCACTCAGGTACTACAAAGTTGTTTGCTGCATCTCAGAACAGGTTGAATGAACACTGTTAGTCTTAAAACTGAACAAACTAGCTGCCTTTTTTTTAACACTTTGCTTTCTTTCCCAGGGCGAAGAACTGAAGAACAGACAGACAAAGAGATGCCTGGAAATTATAAACAAGAAACTTATAATACAGGAATGTACGAGTCAAAGATGGACAATTCAACACATAATCAAACCCTTTTAAAGTGTGTTTGAGCTCTGCTCATTGGGCAGTGGATAAGTTACACCTGGGTGCTCTATTGAGGACAATACATTGACTTTTGCTTCCAATACTTTTAATGTGAGTGTGTGTGTATTACAGATTTTAAAGCCAAGATATTTGAAAAAATACCTTAGATATTAAGTAGGTTTTGTATCAAAGATTTTCAGTCTAGAGTAGCACAACAAACTTTGAGTCTTTTCAACATTCAAGACCAAGTTACACAGTTGTGAAATCCTAGCAGGGTGTTGCCAATTATATGTCTGTACAAGAGTTGACATGAATTGCAGCAAATCCATGTTCACATATTCTGTCCCAGTAAAACTCATGCTTGGTAATTGCAGTTTTAAAGTGATGCTTTACTTATTAAGTTTCAGCTACAATGGAGACCATAAAATAATATCTTTTAATAACACATTTGCTCTGTCTGTTACAAGTTTGAAGGACTTGAGTATGCAGTATTTCAACGGTAGTTACCATAGCAAAATCTATAATTCATATCTGTCCTTGTGATGGCCAAACCCGTGGCCACACTCTAAAGTCGGTAACTTTTGTATTTTCATTCTTCATTTGAACATAGTAATACATTTTAGTTTCCAATAACTTTATTGATTGGTTTGGATACATTTGTTCTATTTGTAAGCGCGCACATTTAGTTTACTTATGTATTCATACTACTTCATTTCTTTGCTTTCTGACTAACCTTTGTCCTTTTATTTCTTACCTGCCATAATCCCTGGGAGTTGCTGGACAAAAGATGGTAGCCAGGGTTTGAAACCATTAAATGAAAAGGAAGATAATTGGACCACACCACCACTTCCTGCTGAAGGGGGAATGTGTGTTTTCTTTACTTTAAAAACAAAGTATTTGTATTTAATTAAATATTTGAGTTTAGGGTTTAATGGGGTTTTTAATTTTCTTCTTTAGTGTTTAGTTTATTAACAAACTAGATTGTACTGCATCGTTTGTGATTTATGATTGTGTTTTGTTTGTTACCCCTCATGTGTCACAATGGTCTGACAGCCATTATAAAAAACCCTGGAAGGCAATTCAAGGTTAGGTCAATTATGTATGTTTGTAGCAGTCATTTGGTTTGTTAAGTTTGCAGTCTTTGCCTGAGTTCAGTTTTGCTTCTTTGACCTCTTTTATGAGCTCAACATTTATTATTCTTGTAAATATAATTTTTGGGGGTTAAATAAATGGAAACTATATTTTTCTAATAATTCCGGGGACTCCTCCTGTTTTTCAACTCGGTCCATCACAGTCCTGTTGGCACTAGTGGGTAGTTAAAAGATTTCGAAATGTATTTTATAGATCTTATGTCTGTTATGTTACTAATGAAAAATAAATGTGGTAAAGACCTATGAAGGAATATCATTCAACTGAAATATAATATAATTTAAATATTTAATTTAAACATGACTAACATCAGGATGCATGCCTAAAAGGGAACAGATGTCTGACTATTTTGTAGAGTTCTCTGGAATGTAGTGCATCATAATGAAAAACTAATACAAACACACAGTCCTGAATAAAACTGCTCATTTACTTTTTCCTAATGCTTCAGTATAACTGATTCCCATTACTTTTAAGCAGATCCCATTCTGTTAAAGGTGCTCCATTACACTGTTCATACCGACTCCACATTGCCTGTCTCAATTTTAAATCAAAAACTTTCTACAGTAGACAGACAACATTCCCCCCTCCGTGAATCGCTACCTTCTGTGTCCCAGGGATCCCAGGGGCTATATTGTCGGGGGGGGGGTGCTTTTGCCCCCTGGTAGGGTCTCCCATGGCAAATTGGTCCTGGGTGAGAGACCAGACAAACAGCAATTCAAAAGACCCGTATGATTATACAATTAAGGGAACAGTTTACCCTGCCCAGGATAGGGTGACCGGGGCCCCGCCCAGGAGACAGGCCTGAGGAGGGTGCCCGACGGCAAGCATCTGGTGGCCGGGTCTTTGTTCCCCGTTGGGCACAGACTGGACATGGGCCCATCCTCCTTTAGGTCCACCACCCGCAGGAGCTGCCATAGGGGTCGGGTACAATGTGTGTCATGCAGCTGCCAGGAGCAGGGGCTCCGGTGGACCAATCTCCGTCTAACAAGACTCACAACTGGGATATAGAATTTCACATCTCTTGTGGGGACGGAGCCTGAGTTAGTGCATGAGGTTGAGAGGTGCCAGCTAGATATAGTCGAGCTCACCTCAACGCACAGCTTGGGCTCTGGAACCAGTCTCCTGGAGAGGGGCTGGACTCTGTCTCAGTCTGGAGTTGCTATTGGTGAGATGCAGAAGACAAGGGTATCTCCTTGGCTTGCTGCTTGTCCTTTGTGGTTTCTCCTGGTGGACGAGAGGGTTTGTTCCCTGCAACTTTGGATCGGGGAAAAGGTTGTCTGTGCTTTGCCCTCATATGGGCAATGACAGTGAGACCTGGAGGGGCGTGATTGGGAGGAAAGGCCTACCGGATCTGATCCAGGGTGGTGTTTTGTTGTTGGATTTCTGTGCAAATCACCGTTGGTCCATAGCAAACACCATGTTCGAACATAAGGGTGTTCATAAGTGCACGTGGCACCAGGGCACCCTAGGTCGCATTGCCAAAGCTGCTGCATTGAGCTGCAGCCACAAGATAGTTTGTGCCTGTCATGGCGGTAATCAGGTGTGGGAGGAGTTCTGAGAGGCCATGGAAAAAGACTTTCGGACTGCCTCGAAGAGATTCTGGAACCTCAGGATTGGCAGAGGTACCACCCAACTTTAAGAAGGGGGACCGGAGGGTGTGTACTAAATATAGGGGGATCACGCTCCTCAGCCTCCCTGTGAAAGTCTTTGCCAGGGTGCTGGAAAGGAGAGTCCGTCCATTAGTCGAGCCTCGGATACAGGAGGAACAATGTGGTTTTGTCCTGGTCCTGAACACTGGACCAGCTCTTTACCCTCTCGAGGATACTTGAGGGTTCACAGGAGTTTGACCAACCAGTCTACATGTGTTTTGTGGACCTGTAGAAGGCATTTCACCATGTCCCTCAGAGTTCCCTGTGGGAGGTGCTTGGGAGTATGGGGTGTCTAGCGCATTGCTGCTGGCCATTCGATCCTTCTACAACCGTTGCAAGAGATTGGTCCGCATAGCTTCTGCTGTGAAACATTTACATCAATATTATATACATTTAATGCCCTTTGTGTCGTAGATGATTGATTTGATACATGAGTTTCTGAGACCTCTATCTCATCAACATGATCAATATTTGCCATAATTTCAAAATGTTATGGACAAAACTCTTTTGTTAGTCTAAAATTAACATTGTTGTTGTTAGCAAAAAGTTTCAAAAAAACACGCAATGTTCCTAATGCGATACAAAAAATATATAATAAATATATGTTATATATTGCATAATATAGCAGAAAATTTGAAGGATTTTGTTATAAAGGTTAATAAACATCTCAGTTCCAAAAAATCTGAATTTCTGGCTATTTTTTGATGGGTTGGGTCTTATAGGGTTAAACAAATCCATTTGTACACATTTTTAAGGTTGGGTAAACTCAGGTAGCTTAACATGGACTTTAGATGGGGTAATAACATGCTCAGAGTTTCAGATGTGACTTCACTCCAAATTAACTGTGACAAACAGATATCTGAACACACTTACCCTTTAATAAACATTTCTTTTACTTTTATTCTGAAGAGCTTGACTTTGGGAATGGCTGTCCTACAGGATGTCAACTGATGACAGATCGTGTAGGGTGTGAAAAGAGTGATGTGAAATGTCCTTACATAGCTTTGTTGCATACACCTCCTGTCTGTGAACTATGATATTGGATGAGTTTAACATAAATGTATTAGACAGCTATGGTTAGCTCTACATTACTGCTCTGCACCTGAGTTTCTCAGACATCAAGTACTGAGACAACAGAAGTTAAATGTTACCCACACGATTGACAATTAACAGCCAGTAAACTGAAGATTATAATAGCAATCTTAATAATAATTACTAGTAATGATTTCAGGCATTTTGTTAAATGAGCCATGACATCAACACACACGAGGAACACCTGTGCCTGTAATGAGCGGGCAGGGATGTCAAAGACTGTGCCTATGTCAATGTAACCCAGAGGTTTTATGCTATGCAAAACAGGTACAAACTAGTAGATGTTGTCAGGTCAGTAGGTGAGTTTTCCGTGTGTGTCCTCTGAGGTGTTATTATCTTTTTATGCATTCTATCAGCTGTCACTGTAAGGGTTTCATGGGTAAACCGGCTATTGTTCTTACTTGGGGGTCATTGGGGTCATTTTCAGTTGAATTTACATGAACCCCAGTCTGTACAAACTACTCAATCTCAGCAGTTCAGTAGCTTAGTGTCTCTGAAGTTTTATTATCTGACTAGGAGGTCAGTGTGTTACCACCATCAGGGGAATGTGGACAAAAAGGCCTTTTTTTTTTTACTGGGGACCATACTGGTCATCCCCTTTTTGGGCATGTTTCTGAAGAACGGATACAAACATGGTGTGGATACCAATAAGGATTTGGAAACACCGCATATGATCAGGAGTTTTTCCAACCTATCTAAGTGAGTTCAGTCACATATTAATATTAATTATGATTTCATGGTACCCATAGTATTTGCACCATAAAAAGGAAAAGAGATCAAGTAATAAAAGGAGTTAAAATCGTAAAAACAAGTTGACGCAGTAAAGGGTATTGCCTGCACATGTATTGAATACATGACAATAAGGTGTGATAAAACAAACAAACAAACAAAAACATTCATGGAAGAACAGTATGTGTAGTTATGAAAGAAAGAAATGGCTTTTAACTGAACTTTTGCAGTTTGTTAATGACATACGAGGTCAAATTATAACACAAGTGTTTGTCCCTTTTCTATAAATGTGCTTTTTATGCTCTAGTTTTCAGTATTTTCTTGTGCAGTGTTTCTTTTGTTGAGTAGGAATATTAACTATTGAAATTCCTTGATTGTGTTTTTTTACTCGTGTTTTTACTTCAGTTTTCTACTGAAGACGATGTACTCAGAAGTTCTGAGTAAAAACAGGATGTCATGCAGAAGATGTGTGTTCCCTCTCTACTGTCTTAGTTTTGAGTCTCTGTGTTCATGTCACTTCCTGTTTTATTTTGACAGTGCCATGTCCTACATTAGTTTGTCTAATTTTGCTTCCCCTTGTCTCATCATGTCCAATTCATCCCAGCTGTGACTCCCTCCTGTCTCCCATTCCCTGATTGCCCTGTGTGTATTTAAGCCCTGTGTTTTCTTGTGTGCGTTGCTGGTTTGTCTGTGTATTTCCCTGCATTTTCCGGTGTAGTTTCTCTGAATCTCCCTGCATCTCCATTTCTGGTCTTTTCTTACTTTTCTCCAGTTTAGGTAATCCTTAGGTTCGGTGTCATGCCCACTGCGTTTCTCTTTGTTTCACCTCCCTAATAAAACTCACTCGCATCTAAAATCTGCCTGCATCTTGGGTCCTTCATTAAATTACACACAGCCTGCCCTACTAGCCGTGACAAAGACAGCGACAGACAGAAAATCAGCTGAGAAGCA